TAAGGAATCATGCAACCTCCCTTTTGATCTTCACCCTTCATGGTTATTTTTACTTCTAATACAAACTGTGCCTGAATGATCTTGGCAGTCATAGACTCAAGGCGGGGGTGACAGTATTGTCCTGTCCAGCAGACATGGACACTCCACTTCTCCGGCAGCTCAGCCAACACTGCTCAGTCCTGACCAGTGTTCCCTGCAAGCTGTGGACTTGGGCAGCCGCTCAGGGGAGATTCAAATGCCACCCCGCTGATTAGCAGAGCATCCTCAGCTAGGTTTTGTAGTTTTATTGGTGGTGCACATTCGCACATGCCTCTGTGCACAGAAAAAAAATATTCCACACATTGGTGGGGAAAAATCCATGGATGGAAAAGCTGAGGGGGGACATTGGTCCTGACCAGTGACATGCTCTGCTGTTCCAGTCTGAAGATCCCAAACGTCTCACCTCAACCCTTGGCTACAATGCCCGCTGCTAGTCCAGTCGGCACCTCCCCAAGACCTGTCATCTGGGTCCGCACGGTGATTAGAACTAATATTCTAGAGCAGTGTTTCTTGAACTGTGTTCTGTGGCACACTGGTGTGCCGCGGAGAACAGAATTCAAAATGGCTGCCCTTAAAGGAGCAGGAGACCCTCTTTTTTTTTTTGCTCAGAAACTTTCCCCCAACCCTTTTTTTCCTCAATAACTTTCTCCCTGACCCTTCCACCCCCCCATCCCTTTCTTTTTTTTTCTCAACCAAAAATCGTTGGTGTTCCTCATTAAAAAAAATATTGTTTGATGTTCCTTAGTCTTAAAAAGTTCAAGAAACACTGTTCTAGAGGGACCAGATAAGAACCAGCGAGCACCCACTCACACAGGGAAGGGGCTAGCGCACTGTGACCATGTTCCACGTGCTCAGCCCAGCCCTGAGGCAGCCTGGCTCAAAGGGTGGTGGCCAGAGGGGGCCATTTCCCAGCCTGTGCCCTAATATTCTCATCAGACAACCGTGCCAGCCACACCTCTCTGCTCGCGACTCCCTGGCCTGGCATGGAAGGATGTTACAGTGCGCACCTGTAAAAGAGACAGGGCTGCTGCCCAAAGGTCACCACCACGTTGCTGCCGGCATTCAGGTTGGTGCCTGTAATTGTCACCTGTGTGCCCCCCGACACTGGGCCCCGCTTTGGTTTCAGGTCGGAGAGCGTCAGCATCTGTGGAGAGAAAGGGTCACGTTGAGAAGGCATTGAGGGCAGGTGAGCGGCTCAGTAGCAGTAGGAGTGAGGTGCCGTTAGCATGTGCCTTATTCTAGCAAGCTGGTAAGCAGCAGAGGCCATGCGCCTTGGTAGCCAGGATCCTACTGCTTTAGCTAGTCTCATCTCTTACCATTTTCCCCCTGAAACTGGGCCAGATATTCCCATGACTCATGACTGTTCAGTGATTCCCAAGGGAGTTCCAGTGGGTTCAGCAAGGAGTCTTGGTTCCCCCTTGCTTTTTAGGGGGCTCAGAAGTACCCTTGCTCCTATACAGCAGCATCTCAGTTAGCTGCCTGGGCTGACGGATCTGAAGCGTCCCTGCGTGTGTTATACCGACCTCGTGAAGGAGTAAGACGGAGGTTCACAGAGATGAACCCAGCAGAGAAATGACGCTAAAACAGGGGTCTAAAACTCCTAGCCCACAGGACACCCTCGACCGGAGCAATTGCCCGAGTCACCAGCCCCAAGTCCTACCCCTTCCCACCATCACTCCGCCCTCTCCCTCCCATGGCACCCTGTCCTCGAGGTTTCAGTTTTGGGGATCATTGGGGGGCCTGATGCTGCAGGGCAGCAGTGGCTGTGCCCTGCTCCCGCACTTACCCCCACAGTGATCCCCAAAGCCGTGTCCTTAGCGGCTGCAGTGTCATTGGGGAAGAGGGTGGGTTGACGGTGGGAAGGGGGGAGCTGGAAGTCCTGGGCCAGACTGTGCAATCGCTCCGGCCGGGGACCCCTGTTCTGAAACCCCGTTGATGTTAACAGCAGATGAGCTTCTTTCTCGAGGGTTGTGAAGCTAAGGTATAGCATGCAAGAGAGGACATTGCCCCTGCTACAGAGCTCGTAGCGCCGGTGGCATGTTCTGCAGGAAGCTGATCATGCTCTACTCAGTCACAGAGGACTTTCCCATGTGAGCAAAAGGAAAGGGTTCAACATGCGGCTCTATGTAAGACACTGGATCTCCCCGTGACTCCGTTACCCACCTGTTAAATGAGGGCAGGAATACTTCCTGCCTTGTCTGTTTAAATTGTAAGATCTTCAGGACAGGAACTGTCTCGGACGGGATGTATCTACAATGCCTGGCATAACAAAGCATTGATCTGTGTGTGGTACTCTAAAGCTACGTTTACACTGCAGCTTTTGCCGCAAGAGCCTATGCAAATGAAGCATGGATTAGCATACTGCTGTGCTTCATTTGCATAATTTATTTGAGCCATTTTTGCGCAAAAAACCCCCATCCACGCTGCTTGTTTTTGCGCAAAAATCCCTTGCGCAAAAAATGGCTCAAATAAATTATGCAAATGAAGCACGGCGATATGCTAATCCACGCGTCATTTGCATAGGCTCTTGTGGCAAAAGCCGTAGTGTAGATGAAGCCTAACACTGTTAATAAGGGCAGGTATCATTTCCAAATCACAGAACTGAAAGAGACCTCAAAAGGTCATCACGTCCAGTCCCCGGCACTCATGGCAGGACCATGCACCCTCTAAACCAGTAGTGGGCACCAGTCGGGGGTCTATGTGAGCCCCACAAGACATTTTGTTTTACTGTTGCCCATGTGCAGGTTGCCAGATTCTGCTGGTTTTCATCTGGGTCGTGTTTTTCTTACCAGTCTTACAAAAGTGACGCACGCGTAAAGCAAAGGCACGTGAAGCGAGGCGCACGCTGACTGCCCACAACGCTGGCGGTGAGAGCCGGGCGCGCTCTCTGCATCCAACCACAGTGCTGCTGTGGTTCAATCAGTGCCCCCCGCAAATTCTAGGTACGCAAGCGCAGGGAGCAGAGCTATTCTACCCAGAGAAGCCGTCTCGGTGTAAGGATGTTAAAATGTGGTTATCTGGCTAATCATGTAGTCGGTACGATTTGTATCGACTACACAACGAGTCGATAAGGACAGGCAGAGCCGCAGCGGGGGTAACTCCAGGAGCCGGCTCGACATGGGACTGAGCATTCCTGGCTCGTGTTGGCACCAGGAGCCAGCCACGTGCGATTCTGCATTTTAAATGTAGTAAGAGCTGCTGGGCTCTCACTGCATTTAAAGTGCAGAGGCGCAGCGTCCCAGACCAGTGAGAGCCGGGACTGCGTGGTCCCAGCTCGCGCTGAGTCCAGCAGCCCCTGTCCACAGGGAGAAAGGGGGGGCACAGATAGGGGGTGCTGCAGGAGCAGCCTCTCCTATCCCCCCTGCTGCGTCTGATAGAGGCAGCGAGGCGGAGGGCAGGCAACACCATGGCGATGGTGCTGGGGGGAGCCGGCTTTTAAGCCAACTCCCCTCAGCACTGGCTCCTGTTTCCCCCCCCGCTTTGCTGCCTCTCATAGAGGCAGCAAGGGGGGAGAAAGCGAGTAGTCGATACTCCAGTCGACTACCCAGTAAGTTTATGCGTATCGGGATGTCGACTAGTCGCTAACAACCCTATCTGAGTTATGACAATCTCGAGGCCCATTGAGATTAAGAAGGGCCACTCACGTGACCCACTCACTGGCCCATTTTGCCCATCATTGATCTAGACCACTGCTAACAGGTGTTCGCCTAAACTGCTCTTAATCTCCAATGATGGAGTTTCCACAGCCTCCCTATGCAATTTATTCCAGCAGTTATCCATCACTTCATTTGGTTTGTGCTCACTTTTTTTTTTTTTTTTTTTTGAGCTCCTTTTCAAAACATGCCCAGATTCTGGACGAATGTATCTGAAAAGATTCCTTGAGGGCCAAGAGAAAGTGAACTCCCCCCTTCCCCCGCCCCAATCAAGATATAATAATCATACTCCAAAGGCACAGATTACACTGATACCAAAACGCGGAGAGGAAGCATCCATGTTCAGGAAGAAATCCGAAGTTACAGTTTATTCTTTCATTAGCATTTTAATAGAAAAACTTTCCACTCACTCCCAAGTGAAAAGTGACTATCTGCATTTAAATGAAGTGGGTTTTTTCCCTAAGAATGATGGCACACAAGCTTGAAGCTCTTCCCAACTCCTCAGAATGAGCCGGTACAATACATTATCATCTTCCTGAGTTTCAAAGACCATTGATAAAATAGTATACAACCACCCAACACACGCACTGGTTCCCTCTTTCACCCCCCCTCCCCACCCCCGCCCCAATCACTGGCAAATCATTTAAAAAACATACGGAAACCTTTCTGCTCGGCCTTCATTCCACATGAAGTTAGCCGTTGGAAAAGGGGCAGAATGGACAATTGCAAGGGGTCTGAAGTCTTCTGTTTATCTACTCAACTGTGTAAGCTCCCTGCATTCGCACCTGGCTTTAATGCAGTGGTCACCAACCAGTCCATCGGGATCGACTGGTAGATCTTGGAACCTCTGACAGGTGATCCTGACTGGTTTGGCCAAGAGGCTTTCAAGTGCCAGCACTTCAGTTGCCCTTCCTCCCACGGCTGCGCATCTCCTGCCCTTTGTCTTGAAATCTGACAGGTGATCCTGACTGGTTTGGCCAAGAGGCTTTCAAGTGCCAGCACTTCAGTTGCCCTTCCTCCCACGGCTGCGCATCTCCTGCCCTTTGTCTTGAAACTGCCCCTCCCCCTGGGAAGCCTCCTGCTTGCTGTGCAGGGCAGGGGAGGGAGAGGAGGGGGCTGATGTTAAGATGCCCCCTCTCCCACTCTTTATCCTTTCTCCGCAGAGCAGTGAGGAGGCACAACAGGACTTGGGAGGGAGTTTTCTGGCTGCGTTAGGGAGTGCTCCAGGGCCAGGGAGGAGTGAGCCTGCCTTAGCCCCACTGCAGCACCAACCAGGAGCCACCAGCAGTGCCTCGCCTACACCCCAAGCACCCCTGCATCCAAGTGCCATCCCAGAGCCTGCACCTAGAACCCCCTTCTACATCCCAACGGCCTGCCCCAAGCTCAGCTCAGAGCCTCTCTCACACTCCAGATCCAGCCCTTAATCCAAGACCAGGGCCTGCACCCCAACCCTTTGCCCCAGCCTGATGGAAGTGAGTGAGGATGGGCAAGAGAGGGAGGATGGAGTGAGCAGGGGTGGGGCTTTAGAGAAGGGGCAGGAGGGAGACAGGGTGGGGTATTTATATGTGAGGTAGATCTTAGATTGCACTTACATTCCAAAAGTGATCTCGTGCTTAAAAAGGTCGGAGACCCCTGCTCCAATGGGACCATCCTTTGGTGAGATGCAGCTGCCAGCACCACGACCCAGCAGCAGATCCCTTAGCCTCTCGCCCAGGATTGCCAGCCAGGGAGCAAAGCAGCACGGACTATGCAGGTGCCAGCTTTGATGCAGTTACCTGGCTAGTGGGATCGGGACTGAGACTCCCCAATTCGTTCCACAGAAGCCACCGAGCAGTCACTGGCCACTCTGAATCACTGACAAGCCCCGTGACACTCGTGCCAGTGACCAGGAGGAGAAAGGTTCCATGTTCTGTCCCGGCCTCCACGTTACCTTTCTCCTCCCCTGCGGTGTTGCGGGTGACAGCTATCCGGCCATGCAGCTGCCGCCTTTGATTCTAATGTGTCAGATCCCTCTGAAGCCTTGCACGGCGTGCTGGGATGTGTATGGAACACAACGTGGGCAGCGCCCATCTCCCCACACACTGCCCCTCACGCCCAGCAGAGCCAGGCCATCTCCCCACACACTGCCCCTCACGCCCAGCAGAGCCAGGCCATCTCCCCACACACTGCCCCTCACGCCCAGCAGAGCCAGGCCATCTCCCCACACACTGCCCCTCACGCCCAGCAGAGCCAGGCCATCTCCCCACACACTGCCCCTCACGCCCAGCAGAGCCAGGCCATCTCCCCACACACTGCCCCTCACGCCCAGCAGAGCCAGGCCATCTCCCCACACACTGCCCCTCACGCCCAGCAGAGCCAGGCCATCTCCCCACACACTGCCCCTCACGCCCAGCAGAGCCAGGCCATCTCCCCACACACTGCCCCTCACGCCCAGCAGAGCCAGGCCATCTCCCCACACACTGCCCCTCACGCCCAGCAGAGCCAGGCCATCTCCCCACACACTGCCCCTCACGCCCAGCAGAGCCAGGCCATCTCCCCACACACTGCCCTTCATACCCGGCAGAGCCAGGCCATCTCCGGAGGATCGCGCCAGTCTAGACGCTTTTTTCCGGCTTTTCCCCAAGCCGGAAAAAAAGCGGCGGCCATGTTTATTTAAATCCCGCGGGGGATATTTAAATCCCCCGCGGATTTCCCTATTCCCAAGTTCAAAATTAGCATGCCCCTTCCGAAGTAGGGGCCAGTGTAGACGTCGCCCATGAGTATATTATTTTGCTACTTTTCCATCTAGTTATTATGCAACAGGAATATTGTGGTGAAAATAAAAGTTTTCTCTTTTCTTTTTATTAACCTGGCATTGGTTAATTTTTGTGTCCTGGTTTGTACTTTAGGGGTGAGATTTCCCAAGTAGTCTCTCCCTGATTTTTTAGCATATTTGAGTGGTGGCAGCGGAGATTTTATTTCCAAAATCTAGGTTGTTAAGATTTTGGGGGAAGTTTTATACCAAAGCCTGGTAGATCAGGTTTTGGGGTACTTTTGCTGGCCCCCACTTCTGCATGTATCGTGCCAGAGTGGGGAAGGAGCCATGACAACCAGCCAATGGCATGTCGATTGCAACCGGGAAGCAATGTTCATGCTTGCTGCATATGGGCCCTGCTGCAGAGTGGAGGGGAAGAAAGAGCATAGGAGGAGGTGAGAGAAAATGACCGGCCGACTCCACTCTCATCCAAGCTCAATGGACAGACCTGAATTGATCTAAACGGCAATTGGGTGGGGCCTTAGTTCCTTCTGCTCCTGGGGGATGCTCTGCGAAGTGGCTTACCATAAAGTAGTAGAGCTGGGAGGACCTGGCCATGAACTCAGGCTTACACTCGGCCACGCAGATCTCCACGAATCCGGCATGCTGGCTGGGCTTGGCTTCTCCCATCTCGCACACTATCCTGCATGGAAAGCATAAAGGAGGGGCAAGGGGTTTGGGTCAGTTCAGGCTGGTCCCACAGACCTGCTCTGCAGAGCCCGCAGCCCGGGGGATAGACCCTGCTCGTTCCCAGAGGCTGCCAGCCCTGGACCCCAAGGAACCCCTGGGGACGCTGATCATTAACCAGGTGTGTCTCCAGACCTTGGGGCCAGATCCGCAGCAGGTGGAAATCAGCTTCACTCCCCTGAAACCCACAGAACTAAGATGGTTTATACCCACGGAGGAGCTGGCCAGTTAATCTCTCTCCTCTCCTCTCCGCACTGATTGCTAGTACAGCCCGGCGGTAGCATGTGGGTTCCAATAGGCTGTAGGGTCCACTCATCAGCTCCCACTCAGCGCTGGCCACCGCGGTGCACGCTAAGTTCTCGGTGCTTCTGTCCTCAAGCCCAGCTCTCTTCAGCCCAGCACTGGTGGCTGTCCACCAAAGTGGGGCAAAGATCCCAGGAGTGGGGGACAATCCACATGCCCTTACCTAGAAACACTGAGGCAGGGGCATAGGAACTCCTGCTGGGAGCATGGAAGTGAGGATCCCAAGGGACCAACGCCAGCCATAGTCTGCTGCAGTGCTTTGGAAGTGACTTTGTAATAGCTAGTGTAGGAGAGGGGCTATGCATTACTCAGCCCTCCTCTGTGCAGGGTTTGTCTGCCCAATGAATACCTTCGATTATTGGCTTCTTCGGGCTTCCTGGGGGCTCTAACTCCTCTGGTGGAGCCAAGGGCCTGGGGGCAGCAGAATTAGTGAATGCATTATGTCACACTCCAGTTCCTGGCCAACTTACTGCTCCGCCGGGATGTATCCTTCCACCAGCGGTTTGCACTCCACTCCCGCCACTTTGACGTGAGATGCAATGTCCCGGAACTCCAGTCCCAGATTCTCCCCCCGGATTGTCACTTTGGTGCCTCCTTCCCGAGGGCCCGTCACGGGGATGATCTGAAGCAAAGAGGCAAGAGTAATCAGAGAAACGCCCGGGCATCGCAAAGGCCACCAAGATTTCCAGCAGGAGTTGTAGCAGCGTCTCATAGGCTATCGCAGACTCGCATCACCCTGCATGGCTCCTGTACAAACACATTCGACTCGCTTCTGCTGGTCCCACACACACGATTTCCAAAGTCCCACCCAATTTGATACCTCTTGTCACCTCCCCTATGTGAGTAACACTGCGCCATGTCACTACAGCATATCAAGGGATACCCGGAAACAGGTGTTTCTACTTGTACGGGGATGGGACTTTCGCAATGAAGTTAATCTCCAGGTTTTGTAAACATCCATCAGTTGTAAAATTTCATCAGTGGAAAGTGGTGGGGGAGTAGAGGGAGCAGGGAAAGGAGAGGCAGAAAGGTCCAGCCAATCTCGCCGATAAACTCAGTGAGTGATCCAAGGAAGTCAGGACATGGACTCGCATTGAAAGGCTTCAAGGAGCTTTTGGACTTTCGCAATGAAGTTAATCTCCAGGTTTTGTAAACATCCATCAGTTGTAAAATTTCATCAGTGGAAAGTGGTGGGGGAGTAGAGGGAGCAGGGAAAGGAGAGGCAGAAAGGTCCAGCCAATCTCGCCGATAAACTCAGTGAGTGATCCAAGGAAGTCAGGACATGGACTCGCATTGAAAGGCTTCAAGGAGCTTTTGATTGGCTCCT